ATTTTCAGAGATTTGAACAGTATTTAGTTCTGAAAAAATAATTAGAAGTTATTAATAAATTGTAGTTCTCCACAAAAATCAAAATTTAACAAGTAAGCAAAGGCTATAGTCGTGCGGGCCCGACCATGTGATACCCTACTACATTACAATATGTTCGAAGTCCCCTTATGTCCAAATCCATTTTGGAAGATTTCGTTTTTGAAATTAGGATCCTTTGGAAATTTGGATTTCGAATGTCCCTAGTCATTTGCCCAATATTTATGTACTCCGTCGTGCTGTTAGTTGTTGTAGTCGATTTTACAGTTAAATGGTCATCCAAACTGTTAGAATTTTTCCCTGTCCTTAACTCTTTCCTCAGGCGTGTCGATTGGCTTCAATTGTGTGATCAGGAAATTGTTTCTGTTTTTGGTTCATTTGAACCCCTAAATATTTTGCGATCATCTCTAAAAGCAAGAGGCCCCTCTGCATCTTTTAAATTTTAGATATTTGGCTATATTATAAAAATTAGCATAAATTAAATTAATATTATTATTATTAAATTAATATCAATTAGCATAAAAAAGCCAGAAGTTCGGCTTTGGTGTATTTCGGATATCGCCTGTAATGCTGGTATTTTTCCCACAAAATTAGTGGTCCATTGTACCCGCTGTCCAAAACTCTAACTTTATGCGAGATTTCGTGTCCTTTGGTTTATATTTGTGACCTTTATAACGGCTGCAAAATCCGGAACATTTATAGTTGTTGGTTCATTTCAACCCCTAACACATTGCGGGCATCTTGGAAAACAATAGACCTAGTCCTTCTTAGCCCAACCATATCCTTTTGAAAATTTCCGTAATGATCAAACGATATTTGAAATCCTTATATAATAACCCCAACCTGTGTTGTAAAGTGAAAAAATATTACAAAATATACAAAATATATATTTTTAAGTCAAATTGAAAAAATCGCATGCGACAAAAAATATGAAAAAATAAAAAAAAAATGTCACAAAATACTACAAAATCTATATTAACATCATTATTGGCAACTTTTTCTGTCAAAATCGGTCCAGCCATTCTTGAGATATAAGCATTCTAGCTTACATCCCCTTTCTTTGTATATATACATTGTATATATTTCGCTATATATATCCGATATATTTACTATTGGCATCTACGTAACCGTCAGAATTGACCTGTTCGTCTATTTGTGATTTCGCCAGGATGAAATATATTCACGGTTTAATGGAAAATTTGACTTTTATTTAACACAAATGTTGTGGCATATTTCATACACTTTTGTAGGGTATAAAAAATGTAGTGTAAAGTATGGATTTCCTATTTACAGTCCTGATGAAGGAATGTAAGAATCAAAAGCATACAACTACATAGGGCAATTTGATTAAAGAAAACTTATTGAAATAATTAATTTTCCATATTGACCGCCAAGACCACAGGCAATACCGCATTCTGATCAGTTAAAATGACTATGCCCGGAATTATCTTCAATCATGTTTTCATTACTGAATTTTGCTTCTGCCATAATACATGAACTAAATAATTCAATTCTTTCTCTGGATGACAAGCTTAAGGCATTTGGTGTAGAATTAATGTTAAATCGGTCGAACATATATATGTATATGGTAGCATATTCTAATCTGAACCCAGTACCAAGCAGAGATAATGAATGCGATCTGTAATTCGCTTAAAGACCATACACAGGTCTCCTATGGTTAGAAGACCTTCCACAGGTCTTCCAAAGATAAATATCTTCCACAAAAGCTTCCACAGATCTTTTATAGTAAAAAGACCCTTCGAAGGTGTTCTATGATTAGAAGGCCTTCCACAGGTCTTCTATACTTAGAAAGCCTTCCACAGGTCTTCTATACTTAGAAGCCTTTCCACAGATTTTCTGTATATAAAATACCTTCCACAGGTCTTCTGTACTTAGAAGACATTCTTCAGGTTTTCTCTTCTCCGCAGGCCTTCTATATTTAGTTGAACGACCATACACAGGTTAGAAGACCTTTCACAGGTCTTCCAAAGATAAATATCTTCCACAAAAGCTTCCACAGGTCTTCTATAGTAAGAAGACCTTCCACAGGTCTTTTATAGTAAAAAGACCCTCCGAAGGTCTTCTATGGTTAGAAGGCTTTCCACAGGTCTTCTATACTTAGAAAGCATTCCACAGGTCTTCTACACTTAGAAGCCCTTCCGCAGATCTTCTGTAGATAAAATACCTTCCACAGGTCTTCTGTACTTAGAAGACATTCCTCAGGTCTTCTCTCGTTACAATCCCTTCAACAGGCCCTCTAAGTTAAAAGAACTTTTGTAGGTCTTCCGTAGATAGGTCTTCACCACAGGCCTTCTATATGTAGTTGAAACTCCGTACACAGGCCTTCTATGGTTAGAAGACCTTCCACAGGTCTTCAGTAAGTAAATACCTTTCACAAGAGCTTCCACAGGCCTTTTGTAGTTAGAAGATCCTTCGCAGGTCTTCTATAGTAAGAAGACCTTCCACAGGTCTATTATAGAAAAAAAGACGCTTCGCAGGTCCTCTATGGTTAGGAGACCTTCCACAGTCGTTCTATACTTAGAAGCCCTTCCAAATATCTTCTATATATAAAACACCTTCCACAGGTCTTCTGCAGTTACAAGACATTCCTTAGATCTTCTATTGTTAGAATCCCTTCCACAGGTCTTCTATCGTTGGAAGACCTTATACAGGCCTTCTATAGTTAAAATAACTTCTGCGGGTCTTCCGTGGATAAAATTCCTTCCACAACTCTTTGTGGGTGAGTTACTAAAGTAGTGGGCGGATTTTGTAGGTTTTTACTGTTTAAAAAACAAGCTGATATAAGTCCTCTCTGGCTGATATAGCTCATGTTCTTCGACCTTTTCCTGGGGAGGTACCTGAAGGAGTAAACCGATATTGCCCATTACCAAACTGGGTCAAAGTTTGACAAAAAAAAAAAGATGACGAAATAACAAGTTAAGGCAAAATCGGAAGTATTCGAAGGTATCTTACACACCAGCCAGACGGATGGTTGCACACCGGTTAATCGACTCGAAAGAGACCTAGCATCTAAAAACCTAATTCCGATGAGACACGTTCTGGCCGCATCGAATGATATATACCCTACGTATATAAATAGAATAAAATAAATGATTTGGTTGAAACGTAGCGATTCGCAATATTAATATCGATCCTAGGACCGGTGTGAAAATCGGCACATCGATTTAGAATAAACATAGCTCCCTTAAAATGCGATAATAGTTAAAAACTTTTTTTTCGAGTTATACACAAATGAGTACCCATAAAGACAGACCCTGTTAAGAGCTTCATATATCGAATGCCAACAAAATTCCATTACCGATACCTATTATCGGAAGGTACCGTTTAAGGCGAGATATACGAAAACGGACAACCATTTTGAACATTTTTCTGTCAGTGCGATAAATATCTATTACGAACTTCAAATGTCAAGATCCAGGCAATTTAAAAATAATCCTTAATTTACCGAATTTCGCAGGGTACTAATTTTGAGAGTTACGGAACCACTGGACCCTAGTATGACATTACAATTACAATTACATTACATTACAAGCTAAATTCGGCCGTGCCGAACTTTTTTATACCTTCGACCATTTTCAAGGAACTTGAAAATTAAAAAAAAAAAATCCCATTCAAAAATACCTCCCAAATTAACCTATATGGGGGCTATAGGAAATCGTGGTCCTTCATAAATAATTTTTTGTTAATAGTACCGATTCCGAACTTCTAATATGAAATTCCGATTAATAATGTCGTTAAAATAATCGGAATACCGAACATCGGGAGGTATCGTTACATGAAGGCTATACGACGACGTGAACCTGCATAGGCAATTTTCAGTCATAGGCTGTAGTACCCATTGCGAACTTCAAGTACGAAATTTTAAACAATTCTGGTAAAAAATATCGCTAAAATAATCAAAATGCCGAATATTGGGAGGTACCGTCATATGGGGGCTATACGAAGACCTGGGTCTGCATAGACAATTTTCTGTCACAGGCTGTTGTACCTACTAGGAACTTCAAACACGAAATTTCAAACAATTCCGGTGAATAATGTTGTTAAAATACTCAAAATTCCGAACATTGGGAGATATCGTTATATGGAGGCAATTCGAAGACGTGAACCTGCATAGGCACTTTTCTGTCATAGGCTGTAGTACCCATTGCGAACTTCAAGTACGAAATTTGAAACAATTCTGGTAAATAAATGTCACTAAAATCCTCAAAATAGCGTATATTGGGGGTACCGTTATATGGGGGCTATATAAAAACGTGGACCGATATGACACTTAGAATTTTACGCTGATCAAGAATATATATATACTTTGTTGGGTCTGATATGAGTATTTCGATGAGTTACAAACGAATTGACCCTCCATAGTATGGTGGAGGGTATAAAAAGCTTCCTATGGAAAATTGTTCGGACTCTAGCGTGAAGGCTAAAGCGTGAAGGCTAAATCAACTTGGATTTTTACGCAAATCAAGAATATAAGTACTTTGTTTCAATCGGTCTCAAACGGAATGACAAACTTAATATACTATCCATATAATGTAGGAGGTTATGAAAAACGGCATGTCTACTTCGACTTTATATATCAAACCTAAAATATCCTTCCATAATTCATAAACTTCTTAAAAATCATTCGAAATATTCCATTAGCGTATTTATTTGTATGTGTATTGTATTAAAAAATGAGGTCAATGTCACTGCCCGCATTCATGCCAAACAATGTTACTCCATATTAAGAAGTTCCAAAAAACCGGAAATCAGACAAAACAATACAACACTCCCCAACACAACAAGTTAATGCATTCAATAGCAGCTGATCGATCATAAGAATGCTCAAACAGCCGGTAATGCAACATCATTCATGTTGTACATCAAACCCTGCCATTTCATACTGTATGATTTATTGCAGCGAACCTTACAACATGTTTGATAGATTTTTGGCACACTGAGCATTCGCATTCAACTGGCCATCATAGCTTTGCGGTTAGTTCGACAAACCACAAACTCCAAAAGAAAAAAAAACAGGTGTAAATAAAACCAAAGCTTGGCTTAAACACGATCGACAACAAACCGCAGTCAACGCTGAGAGCTCCAGAAGAGCAGTCGCAATTAGAGAAAAGCGGTGGATTTTCAATTCCGAAACGGTTACAAGTGTCTGAAACAAACGTTTTGCAGCGTTGTGGAAGATTTCGAAGAGCAAAACAGAAACGTATAAAAGAAAATTGGAAATTTAACGAAAAATCAGATGAAAACAAAATAGAAAAGCAATAACAACATCGGTTCGTAACAGCACAAGAGAGAAATATCTCGCAGACCGTTACTAAATTTTGAATTTAAAAACAAAACAAGAAAAATTAAAATTACAAATTTTATACATCAAAGATATTTAAAAGTGAATTTCTGAAAAAGAAAAAAATCTTGTTTTAATTTTCCCATATTGCCCCCGGGGGATGGATGGCTGATATCTGATCCAGTGACGTAGATATTGTAACGTGTTTTAAGTTTACAAGATTGTTGTCGGATATCAACTTCAAAGTTTTTTTTTCGTAGCCGTTAAAAGAAAAGTTTTTTAAAGAAAAATAAAAAAAGAAGAGTGCACACCACAAACAAAGAAAGAGGTGGAAAACAAGTAATAAGAAAAATAAACGGAAAAACAACAACAATAAAGATGATGATGATGAAAAATCTCAACAAAACCCCAACTACTACCACAACAGCACCGACAACAAACCTCAATGCTCGCCAACATCGCTGCTCTGGAAAATCATTGAAAAAAAGTGAAATTATATATCGGCTATTTGGCTGTGGTGGTCGTGGTGGTGGCAGTGGCGGCCTCTGGCCAATTGTCATTATCTTGTATGCGTTACTTGTGCTGCAGCTATTCGGAAGTTCAATGGCTTTTACCATACTTTCGCCCTTCAGCTATACATCGCTGAGTTTCAAGAATCTTTTGAACAGTGTCCTACTGTCGAGCAATGGCAATCTGGCCGGTGGCGGCCGTAACCTCAAATCGGATGTACTGGAAGATGCATCATTGATAACGGTAAGAAGAGGTGGTTCAAAGGAAAAAAACAGAGAAACAAATAAAATAAAATTGGAAATTTAAAAAAGTAACGGTTTTAAAGAACCAAAAAAACGAAGAAAATTTAAAGAACAAAAAAAAACGAAGAAAATTTAAATCCAGCAAAAGTTAGATATAATAAGCCTTATTAAATCCCAACAAAATTATAAAGCGCATTTTTTGTGTGACAAAATTATAAACAAACATTTTTTTGTGTGACATGGTGTGTGAACGTAAATTATTTCTGGCAAATTAAAAAAAAGAAAATAATTGTGAAAAAATAAAATAATTAAACTATTAATAATTGTAAACACGCGCCACAAAAACATTCCATAATTTGTCAAGAAAGTTTTAAATTGTCCTGTAAAAAATTGTCATCATGTGAAACAATATAATTTGTTAGAGATCAAAAAATCTAAAAGCAAGTTGTACTACCTACGCGTGTATTAGATAATTGTGGGAAAAAATATTCAATTCATTTGGTTCAAAATATGTAAAATCGGGCTATATTGTTTACAATATTAAAAGGGTTCTCGTATTAGTATTTTTTGTTTTCTGAGATTTTATAATAAATTATTCTTCTCATAACGTTCAAATTTGTGTCCTCAACATATCTCGAACTAGGTGCTAACGTCTTATGAAGTTATATCAAAATACTGAATTTGCCTGAAAATACCAAACTGCAGCAACTATAGCTCAAAAATTATGGTCTAGGCCTTTAAAACATCAATACATGGTTGCTAGGCGTACATCGAGGGCATTCCAAAATTGGTTCAATATATATTAAAATTTTAAAATATTGTCTAAAATTGATCCGGCCTACTTTATGGTCCGACCGGTCGAAACGTGGATTGATTTTGTAAAATTTTCATACAGCGAATTTTCATTTGACGAAAATACAAAATGCAACCATTTCGGTTTAAAGATGCTAAAAACGATTACCCTTTGTAGGTGGGGTAAATATATAACACCTTCTTGCAAAAACGAAGGCCTTTTTTGGGGATAAGAAGCGGAGAAATTTTTCCATGTTCGCACATTATCTATGTCTGACAAAGATATTACCGCCTCCCAAGCGGTGTATATTTGGGATATATGTATCATTTGTTAGAATTTAGAACATTTGAACCAGAAAGGTGGGCTGATATATAGGAAGAGGAAATGTGAAAATCGGTCATTGATACCTCACCTTAATCGAGTTATAATTGTTATTTATTTTAGGGGAGGATCTAAATGTGTACTCCAATATTGCCCATCTTCGCACTTATTATTCTACACGTAATCCAAACTAATAAAAGTTGCGCTGAGAACCAAAAACCCTGAAAAGTCTTCTACCAACAAAATAAAGAATAGGAATCTCGAATAAAGAATCTCGAATTTTAAGAAATCCACTGAAGAGAGGCAGTCAATTTTTATTGAAAGACTTTTTTAATTTTACCCAAGCCTCCTATTGTTAAAACGAACGCTTTAAGCTGGTATAGGAAGCAGTCACAAGGCAAATTTTTGAGAAAATATTTCTTAAAAGATACTTTATAAAGGCAACCCTTCACCATTCCCTTCGATAAAACCCTACTATAGAGAAACACCATTAGAGAGTATTTGATAGAAAAAATACCTAAATTAAAAGAAAATTCTTTGAAATGCATTCTATAAAGAAAATATATAGAAAGGGTTTTCTAGGGGAAATATTTTTAAAAGACTTTTATCAGAGACAGACATTAAAAAGGTATTCTGAGGGGAAAAAAACCTTAAAATGTAGTTCGGCATTTCTGCGGAGAAACTCTTTAGAAAATCCGTCTTAAAGAAAAAATATAATATATTAAAATTTCTGTGTAGAAGGTGCCTTTTATATAGTTTTTTTTGAGAAAAAAAAAATAAAAGATATTTTATGGTCAAAAGATAAAAATTTTTGGCTATCGCTAGGAGGCCATTACCAGAGGAATACCCTTATTTCATTTTTGAAATTTTATTCCACAAATTCGTCTGAAAACTGTGCAGGGATGTAGATTTTCTACCCAGCATTTTCCATCTATTTTTAATAAAAGCTATTTATTTTCAGAACCCCTTTTAAGTTATTATACTCTCAGCCGTATGGCCATAGAGGGTGTATATCTTTTAATAACGTGCCTCATCGAAATAACGGTTTTAGACCCTATGTCTCTTTGGAAATTAAAAAAAAAACATAATAATTTACAGCACGGAAAGAAAATGGATCATCCGATTTTGCTCCAACTTTGCAAATCCGAATATTTGCGTCTGTGCTAGGTCAAGTGCGAAAATAAACAATATCGATCTAATCTATCAAGTACCTCCCCCACAAAGGGTCAACATTTTGAATAATTACATCTCTTATAAAATGTAATGTTCGAGTCCGATTATCTTCAAATTTCACCCATCCCAATAATTTTATTAACCCAAGGCCTGGTGTTAAGATGAAATATATTGTCCCACTTCTTCTGGTACCTCCCCCCACAAAATATCGAAATTTTGAATATCAGTGAAGCTCAAAAAACGCGAAATAAACATCCGATTCCATTTAGATTTTGCACATCTGAATATTTCTATCAATACTGTATCTGTTATAAAGGCGGTAGAGATCCGACCATTCCCTTTGGTACCTCCCCCACAAAGGATCAAAGTTTTAAATAACCAAGACGTTTATACAATTCGAAATAAATATCAGGATATTCAGGGTGAGATAAAAAAACTGCAACAAAGTCAAACGTTACTTGTGGTCTTCCAGCCAAATATAAAGTAATCACACTATCACGCTTGAATTACATGACGAACAACTTTTTTTCTGGAAAATTCTCACCAAAATGCTTTTGTATGCTTGTAAACAATGTGAGCTGTCACTGGAATAATTTTAACAGCTGTCGGACGAGTGGCTTAGAAATGACACAAGTCTGAATTTGGTTGCAGTTTTTCATCTCACCCTGTATTTCATACATTTCTTTATTTCTACTAACACAAGATCTGTTGTGAAGATGGCATACATGGGTCAATTTGTTCTAGTACCTTTCCCACAAAGGGTCAACATTTGAGAAAATATCCATGAAGCTCATAAATCGCGAAATTAACATGCGATTCCATTCAAACTTGGCACATTTCAACATTTCTATCAAAATAAGATCTCTTACAAAGATGGTGGATATCGTCGGATCATTCCTTCTATACATCCCCCCCAAAAAGTGCTCAAAATATTGAAAAACAAAACGCTCAAAGAAAGCGGAAAAGCATCCACCCCTCTGCAAATTTCACATTTACAAGCATTTTCGCTAACACAACATCTGTAGTGAAGATGATATATATCTGCGAACCCCTTCCTGTACCTCACCCAAAAAAGGTCATCATTTTCAATATCTGTCATAACATGCGAAACAAGTTAGCTATTCTTTACAATTAAATATTTTTCTCAACCAGAAACCCGAGATGAATATGGAATTTATGATTTCGAATAAAATTGAAGATAAGTGTTCGGCTTTCTTATAATTTTTCCCATACCAATATTTTTATCTGTATTAGATAAGGTATAAAAATGGAATACTTTGGCCTTTGGCCCAATTTGGCCTAACCTTGTACGTCGCAATATTTATATGATATTTGAATAGATTCGATACGAAATGTACAATATTGGCCCATTTTTTTGGAACCCACTCCATAGAGGGTCAACAATTTGAATAATCATAACAGAAGTCAAAATATATTTAAATAATCGAACATTGGCAGAGGGTATACATCTGTAGGAAAAACTGATCCATACTTTTTAACTTGTTGTGACTACAATTGCTAGTCAATTTTCGATCAGAAAAATTCAAAATTTAAGTAGTATTTTTAAACTTTTTCAAAAAATTTTCAGCAATTTTTTCTGGTAATTAGCTAGCTTTGTGGAATTTCAATGGGGTTACCCGGTTAAATACAACATTTTATGCAGAATGGAATGCAAAAATAATTATCTTTTTAACGTTAATTATTCATGCCCAATATATTTTACAAATAAAAAAAAAATATTTAAATTTTAATGGATTTAAATAGGCACAACAATAAAAGTCATGAATAATAAGGGATTTTAATGGGCTAGGCAATTCAAAAAATTACTCGCTGCACTTGGTCTGAAGTGCATTGACTTTCGATTAACAACTGAATTTTTATGAACCCAATGAGGGAGATTGGAGGTCTTCAAAAAGAATTCTATGAAATATAAACACCTATTTAATATGACATTAATGCGACTATTTTATTAAATCCAATTATTTATATAAAATATTATTATTATTTTTCCTAATTTGACCTTAGAAGCATTCAAGGACTAATCGCACGAATTGTTGTCTGGAAACCCCCAAGGTTTAAATTGATCCCAGAATTTTCTAATGGCAATGAAGTTATTTCCTCTGGTTATGGTTATTTGAAATTATTTAACACTCTGCCGTTATCAGTTTTTTATTTACTAATTTGAAAGTGATTGTTAAAGTAAATAAATAAAATTATGTTGGTTTATTTTTTTTCGTCAATACTTTACATACCTACATATGTTCATATATATGTTGAGAGACTAAGTTTTGTTGTTGTTTTTTTTTTTTTTTCTTTTGGGTAATAGACAATCTCCCATTATATCATAATGACTGCATTTGGGTTTTTAGGTAAACAGTCTGTGGAGTGTTTGAATATAACAGAAAATGCCGTAAAAGTTGTTAATTAGATGCATAAACATGTAGTTGAATACAAGCATAGATATGTATGTACATATATGTATTTGTCTTTTACTTTTTTTAACCCTTTGTACTGGGAGTTTTTATTTTATTTTCTATTAAATAAATTATTTGTGTTATGAAAAGTTTTAGCTCAAAACTACAATTTCAATGAACAAATGAAGTAGGAATACTTGTACTTGAAGGAATGTATTAGACGAAGAGAAGGAATGAACATACAATCAACATGTTCAGGTACAACATTTTTTATGCCATAAAATCTGACAGCGCTTTCAA